GTGATTAATGCTTTCATAAAATGATTTATGAATAACTTAGTCCCTATCATTTTCCCCCTTAACAACTTCTGAGTAACATGTTGTAAGTTTATGTAACTATATTGTATTATCTTTCTATATTAAAAAACTTTTTGCTTTCTTTTTTTTTTTTTCTTTTTTGAGATGGGGTCTTGCTCTGTTGCCCAGGCTAGAGTACAGTGGCGCCACTGGAGCTCACTGTAACCTTGAACTTCTGCCCTCCCAAAGAGCTGTGATTACAGGTGTGAACCACCATGCCCAGCGTTTGTTTATCCTTAGATTGCAGCTGTTTTGATATACATGTAATTCATACCTGCCTGTCCCTAAAAAATTCTGAATTAGTATTCATTTTGTTTAACTCTATGTAGTTACTAATCACCATTTAAAACAATAGTAATTGTTTTAAATCATGACACAACTGAGTAAAGTTATAGAAAATATTCTACAATGTTATATTTTATAAATTAACTGTATATCAAATTATTCTTGACAAGTTTTTTGGAGAGAAACTTAAGTAAATAAATACTGGCCAGGCACGGTGGCTCATGCCTGTAATCTTAGCTCTCTGGGAGGCCGAGGCCGGAGGATTGTTTGAGCTCAGGAGTTCAAAACCAGCCTGAGCAAGAGCAAGACCCCGTCTCTACTAAAATTAGAAAGAAATTAATCGGACAACTAAAAATATATAGAAAAAATTAGCTGGGCATGGTGGCGCATGCCTGTAGTCCCAGCTACTCGGGAGGCTGAGGCAGGGGGATCGCTTGAGCCCAGGAGTTTGAGGTTGCTGTGAGCTAGGCTGACGCCACGGCACTCTAGCCCGGGCAACACAGTGAGACTCTGTCTCAAAAAAAAAAAATAAATAAAAATAAATAAATAAATAAATAAATAAATACTAAAGCAGCACCCACTCTTAGAAAGTACATGGCTATAGATGATAAAACACACTACTTCAAGATTAGAAACATTGTTCTGGAAGATGATATTAACTTAATCTTTGCTCACATCTACACTACATTGAGTTTGCTATATCATGTTTCATTGCCTGCATTTTTAAAGCTGTGTTTTAATTCAGCTTGTAAAGTTTAAGAACTTTACAAGCATATCTGCCCCCTCACTCCTTAAAAAAAAAAAAAAGAAAGAAACCTAAGATTTAAAAAAAAACTGGACATATTCACTAAGATTAGCACTAACAAGATGAAACAATTACAAGAACAGAGAAAATTATTTCTAGGTCCTCATTTACCTAGTTGGTATGGTCCTCCTAAAAGTAAAGACCGGTTGGCTCATCCTTAAAGACACTAGGTAAGCAGAAATTTCTGAAAATTCAATTTAATTTGAGGTTAACCATCACCCAAGACCAGAGGGAAAATTAGGAAGGACAAAAGATGAAAAACACAATTAAAAAGAGCAAGTATAACTTGAATTGCTCTTACTGCCATTCATTTGTGGCTATTTATATGTAATAGGAAAAAAAAGTACTGTTACACAAATATGCAAAACATATATAACATGTATGTCAAGAGATTTCTTGAAAACTTACTGCTATTTATCTTAGTCATAAAGATTACATTTTCAGAAAAAGATCCCCAAATGAGTAGGACATCTATATTCAGATAATATTTCAAATTTTAAAAAATAAAATCTGCTTCAGGCCATCAAAACAAACTGATTTAGGTAAATGTAATTTCAGACATCAAATTCAAATTTAAGCTCTAAAAAAATCTTACAAGGTTTAATCAATTCTCAAACTTGTACCACCTCAAGACTTCAAGTCATTAAAAAACTGATAACTTGATCAGCAAGAGGCAATGATATTTATTTGTATTTGTTTAAAAACTCAGAAATCGTCCATTTTGAAATATTAAAATATTTAACTAGCTTAAAATAAGAGGGTAATTATGGTTGGTGACCCCAAATATGCCACATTTAAAAAATAAGACCCAAAACAACAGCTAAACATGATCATAAATTATGTCCTACTTGGACAGTCATGTAGCTATTTTACTCCTTAGTCACTAGCAAGGAGGGAGGTCCACGTCTCCAGGTTCGTTCTATCTAAACTACAGGTAGTTGTGGCAGAAAGAATGAACATCTAGAAACCAGAAGCAGCAAACTCCTTCCTTCAATAAATGCCTTCTTTATTTATATTCTCCCACTGAAACCAGTCATACATTGCTCCTAGAATCCCATGCTCTTTAGAAAGAAGGGGCGGAGGTGGGGTGAAACTGGTTACTGGAAAAGGATGCACGAAGGATGTCATACACTGTAATAGGGAGATACGGACCTACCGGCAACTACAATACAGTGTGCTAAGTGGTATGTGAGCAAGCAGGAGATAAGTACCTAACCCCAAATTAGGGGCTTAGTAAATATTAATAATTCTGAAAGACCTTATAGTTCTGGAGGATGAAAAAGAGGCTGCTGGTGGGGATTAGGGGGGTAAAGACAGAGCAAATAGTGGTTCTCAAAAGAGGGTGGTGCTGTCCTCAATGAGGAATTTCAGAAACTGCTGAGGACATTTTGGGCTGTCACAATGAAGAGGAGAGGGAGAGTTACAGGTATTTATTGGGAGGGAAGTCAGAAATGCTAGATGCCTTGCAAGCATGGAACAATGTCACATAATAACAACAAAAGTCCCACATCCAACATTTTTTAATGTTCTTATATGGAAAATCATATAGATGGGAAATTCTGTTTATAATAATCTGAGCTTAGAAACCAACTCACTCCATTTTCCACATAAAAGTATTTTGTATAATTTTAATATTAAAAAAATTTCCCAGGAATGCTATTACCCCATAAAATAAATTGAGGGAAGTCTGCACTTTCTTTTGTTCAGAATTTACAAGAAACTGTTCATAATGCTGGAAAATCATTTCACCAATGGGAAGTTAGCTTGAAGTAAGCATTGCCAGTACCACAACTGGCAGTATCAGTGTGCACTCTGTCACACGCAAGGAAATGACAGGAGAGATATGAAATTCTCTTTAATGGAATTAAGGACTAAATAATATTAAATTAGTGAAAATACATGAAATGTAGGAATTTCACTTAATACAATTTTCATTAATAAAAGATTAATTTATTTAAAGATCTTCAATAATAAAGGTTGTTTAAAAATATTTCATATTATTACTGTCTTACTTAAAATATTTATAGCACAATGAGAAATCTACACTGTAAAAAATCAAATATCAAAACCACTTTTATCACTACCTCATCCCACATTATAATGCTGGGAATGATTTTGTCACTACAATTTTAAATAAACTCATTCATTTGCAAGAATTTTGTATGTTCTCATTTTCTCTACTTTGACTGTAAATTGTCTTAGCATATTATCCTTACTTCAGTTAAAGTTATTTCCCTTTTTCTCTTACCATATACAAGTATGTCATGTCTGCTATCATTTACCACAATATGTTTTAATTCTGAGGTCTGCTCATATTTCTGCTTTTCCTTTTTTTTTTTTTTATTTGTAGAGAAGGGGTCTTGCTAGGTTGCCCAGGCTAGTCTCAAGCAGTCCTCCCCCTCATCTCCCCAAGTGCTGGGATTATAGGCATGAGCCACTGTGCCTGGCCTCTGCTGTTTTTCCTGTATTTCTTGCCAAAAAAAAAAGAAAAAACAAAAGACTTCTGACCTTCTCACTTCCCTTAAACCCAGTTGGTAGTAAGTGGGTACAGGGTTTGACTATCTCATTCTGTCTTTGAATGGTCATGGCCAAGCATTTACATACTGAAATAGGTATTTTATTATAAATTACTTTTTGGTTATCTCTACTTCATTTTAGGTGTTAGGGCATTACATTCATATAAAAAGTAAGTATGTAAGTAGGTTTATTATCTATGGATTTCATTTGGGATAGTAAAGATGGTGGTATAAATTATTTGTTATAAAAAGGGGGTACTGGGATTGAAAAAGTTGAAAGGTGCTGTTTGGCACAAAAAATAGATGATAATGCAAATATTATAGCAGTTGATGCTTAGGAATGTTGGAGGAGGGGCTAGAGCTGAGATAAGAGAAGTGTTTTTGACTCTGCAGGATATAATCTATGAGTAGGATGTAAAATCAACTCACTGGGTTACTACCAGTATTTCCAGTATTTTTAAAGGATAGGGAGGGAGGGAGAGAAGGAAGGAGAGGAGAAAGATTAGAGGAAATCTAATTCACCTGGGTGGGGCTTGGGGATTTAGGTTTTTTTTTTTTTTAATGTTTCATAGATGACTCTAAAGCAGCACTGTCCAATGGAAATATAATAGAAGCCACAAGTGTAATTTAAAATTTCTAATAGCTACATTAATTTTAAAAAGTGCAAAAAAAAAATTAAAATATTCATCTTTTATTTAACCAAAATATTTTAACTAGTAATTAATGCAAAAATATTAATAAGATTTTTTTACATTCTTTTTTTCATACTAAGTCTTTGAAATCCAGTGTGTATTTTATCCTTATAGCACATCTCAACTTGGATTAACCACAATTTAAGTACTTAATAGCCATATGTGCCTAGTGGCTATTATATGGGACAGTGTAGGCTCTAAGGCATCCAGATTTGTTAACTACTGACCAAAGAATACATTTTTTTGAAGAAACAAACTAGGTGTTCAGCTAAGCATCAGTGCAGAGGAATCATTTCACTTGATGTCCCCATTCTGAAGAAGAGTTAAGTCTGTTAATATCTTAAGAAATTTACAAAAGCTCTTAGCTTCAGAATAAAAAAGAAAGCATGAGATTTCAGGTTCCAATACAAAAATTCTCTACATCAGATATGCTATCACCTATATAGTCTTACCATGAGTTTTAATAATCAATTGCCCAATATCATAAAGTTGCTTATTTGTCTTTGCTAATTTATTTTTTGTTTGGTTTAATTTTTATTTTAAAAAGTGAGGTTATATGACAAAGTTTCATCTTTCGGAGTTCTAATGAATACATTCTTCTTCACTGATATTTAAGCAGTCCTATGACATGTTTATAGAACTTACAGGTGTCAGCTCAGCCTGTTCTTCTGTGAAGTCAATATGACGCTTGGCCTGCTTGCTGGAACATCTCAGAGAAATAGCATGCTGTGAAAATGCAGGAAGGAAGAAAATGATAGGTAAAGGAGGTGAAAAGGGTAGCTCTCATTACTATGGAGGAAGAGAAAAAGATCACTGAAATGAAACAAAACAGTAATGAAACAAAATAGTAAAGAAAAGTTACATGCAATTACCTTTCATTCTCTTATGCAAAAATTATAAAGGTAAGACCAGAGGATCTTAACCCTTGGTAATTTAAAGATAACCTCACTCAACTTCTGGACAATGGAGTTCTATAGAAGAGCGATGCAGAAACATTATGTCCAAACCAATTCATATTAATAAACCTCAATTGGGCCTTGACCACTGTTTGGCAGTACTCTTAATCTTTTCCCCTCACTCTGCTAAGTCATCCTCTCAAAGTCTAAGTTCCCTTCTTCCTCAGGCTTCTAGCTTCCCTCTTTCCTCTTCATATGACCTCACTTCCCTCCCATTACTAAGAAAATCACATCCACGTATCACGAGGATCTTTATTACTAGAGTGTATCCTGTAAATACACCCATATTCTCATACCTCCCCCTAGTTCTATGTGAATAAATGTGCTTTGTTTCCCTCTCCAAAGCTAAGCATGTCCTAGATCCTACCCCTTCCCCCTCCAATATCTTCAGTGTCTGATACTCAACTAGATCAGGCCATTGAGGGTGGAGAGGAGAACAGAAAAATGTTCTTCTGGTTACCTGCCTCTTGTTAAACTACTATTTTCTCTTCTCCACTGCCAAATTTCCCAATTTCATGCTATAATGTTCTTCCTCCATTTCCCAGCCACTCATTTATCCCATAATTCCCTGCAATCTTTCTTCCCCAAAGCCTTTATCCTTTGAGTTGTAATACATTCTGTAGTTCATTCTCAAAGTCTTCACTGACCTTTTAACCAAAAAGGTTTTCTGTCTCTCCTATCATAGTACCCATAATACTATGTACTGCTGTTTGGTTGTCTGCATCTATCTCCCTCCCCCACCATACACTAAATTATAATCTTATGAGGACATTGTGCGTTATGTTCATGGATTTATCCCTTACAGCCTAGGCACTCAAATATTTGTGGGATGTAGGAATAACAATTTCTGCTTGGCCTTCATGCTCAATGTTTGGCCAGATCAAGATTGTTTTTGCTTTTCCCTCTGTATTTTCTCATTAAACATATTCTATTAGCACTGTTTCAATTACCATATCAATAGGATGCCAATCAAATCTATACTCCCAATATCCTTGTTTTTAGGAAATAGAGACTAAAGGGGCATGATAAATGCAACCAACTCTCTAATGGTTCAGGGAAAAAAATGTAGACAGAACAATAAAGTGTGGCAAAATGTTAAAAAATTAGTAAATCTGCCTAATAAATTTCATGAGTTATTTGTATAGTTCTTTCAAGCTTTTATAAATTTGACATTATTTCAAAATAAAAAGTTTTAAAAAATCTATACAAGCTCCCATCATACATTTCCAAATGCTTCTTGGTTTAATTTTTTAAAAAAATCTAAAGTATTCAACAAGAGATCACTGTGTACCATGTTAAACAGGATGATGGAACACTATATAGTTCTTGAAATTCAGTACACCCTTACCAAAAAGGATGTATGTATGTGAAGTGAAACAATAGAAAATAGTACATACATAAACAAAGATTAAAACTTAATTTATGCTGTCACATTAACAAGGATAAAAATGGATTATGGAATAATATAGTTTATTTAATGTTAATTAGGTTGCATTTCCATAAAGTACTTAAATATTTTTTAACCAAAAAATATTATCTTCCCTAAATCTAACCTTTACCTACTCTTCATCACTATTTTCACAAATCTAAAAGCTGTGCTCAAAACATAAGAAAAATAAATTTGAGGGTCAATTCTCCACATAAATTTTGCTCTAAACTTTTTCAGTTTCAAAAACTTTCATTTGTGTTACAGAGTCATCAAATTCTCTATTGATCTTTCAAAAACTCTCCACAAATGTCTGTTAAGTTAGTTACGGACCACCACTTTCTTGAACCGAATCTGTAACATGTTAAAATGACGTACCATTTACATGCCAGAATCCTTGGGGTAGGGATGGGAGGGCACATACTGAAAAGCACTGATCTGAACACAGGAGCCAAACCATCACCAAGAAATGGCCTTGTACCAAAGCAATGGTTACAAATAAAACCATTCCTTGTGATTGCTAACACTTTATATTACAACTAGAAAAAAGTGGAGGTTTACGACCACCCCTTAGTGTTTTAATAAAATGGATTTACATTCATCTTTAATGATGTGTATGCATTTTTCACAAATATTATATTGAAAATAAGCATACATGACCCTGGGTCCAAGCCCCAGCTTGGCCATTTACCTGCAGTGTGATTCTGGACCTATCATTTAACCTGTTTCCTCATGTGTAAAATGGGGTAATAATAGCATTTATCTCCAAAGGTTGCTGTAACAATTAAGCCAGTGATAATAACATTACCATTATGGTAAGAGTAGGAAACTGCCAGTCCTCATCTGAATTTTATATAAGCCTTAATTTACTTAGTTTAGAGCTACTTTAGAGTTGTAAAATTTTAACTGAAAATATTCAAAAGTATACTAAAACACCACAAGATGGGGATGTTACTGCACAAACCTCTTGCCTTTTTTTTTCTCCTGCCCATGTAATTCTATATCTAAGTTTGGCTCTGAGAGCGTTCTACTCTTATTTTTACTGTCTTTCAATTCTGTGATGAAGCAGTGTGATATGG